TGCTGCAAGACTCTCAGTGCAGAAATCTGTTGCTATTGAGCTTCACAATTGACTTGGATCCACTTCCTTGTTGTTTCCTGTTTTCTGTCCCTCAAGGCTAGGTCCTTAGGCTTCCCATGCCACGATATACGTAGGTCCTAAGTATGGAGTACTGATTGCTAGGGAGGGGGTTAAGCTCACCAACCCCCCCCCCCCAGGATGACTGTCTCCCATGCCATGTATCAACTTCCCGCTGGCTGGCTGCTTTCTTATTCCCACCACTGAGCTGGTAAACCAGCAATATAGCCACATCCCCTCTTCATCCCCTTATGTACAAACCCAGTTCGGATTAGGCCCTGCATGCACCCCTTTGTAGGAAGATCTTCAGACCAGGTACTTCAGCAGTTAACATAACTTTTATTGCAGAACTTTGCAGCAAATGCATACACTTTCCACAGTCTCTTACAGGTATTCTATGGCATAACTCTCTCTCCTCTCTTCCCTAGGCTGCCAGTCCACACCTCTTGTGATAACGTCCATTTGGTTCAGAAAGTCCACTTTATCTTCTGTGGGACCCCCCGATGTGCTCACAAAAGACTTGATCTCCTTGGAGGTGTCAACCACATCAGTCCACAGCCCAGCTTGCTTTCCTTCTCATGTGCTCCAGCCGTCTCAGGAGCAAAGCCTTCCCACTTTTTAAAGCAGCACAGGGTAGAGGGCAGAGGCCAAGAAGACTGGAAAACCACAGAGCCTATAAACACAGAGCCTATATTACCCCCCTGGCAGACTGCTAACTAAAGCACAATATACACTCACTGGCTACTTTATTAGGAACACCTTGCTAGTACCGGGTCGGACCCCCTTTTGCCTTCAGAACTGCTTTAATTCTGTGTGGCATAGATTCAACAAGGTGTTGGAAACATTTCTTCAAGATTTGATCCATATTGATATTACTGTCAATAGTTATTGTTGCCTTTCTATCATCTGGAGCCAAGCTGCCCTCTGACATCAACAAGGCATTTTCATCCACACAACTGCGGCTCACTGGATATTTGATCTTTTTTGGACCATTCTCTGTAAACCCTAGATATGATTGTGCATGAAAATCCCATTAGTTTGGCAGTTTTTAAAATACTCAGACTAGCCCATTTGGCACCAATGACCATGCCACATTCAAAATCCCTTCAATCCCTTTTTGTTTTTGGGCTTAATATCACTTTAAGTAGCGTATCAGGACTGGCATCAGCAGCTGGCCACAGATAGACTTGAAGCAGAATAGCAGGCAGAGCCATTGGTCAGGAGAAAAGCCAAGTCAGCAACTGGTAAGCAGGAACAAGCGATTGTCAGGAGACAAGCTGCCTAAGCAACCGGTAAGCAGGAGCAAGCAGTATCCAGGTTGGATCAGCAACTGGTAAGCAAGAGCAAGCCATGGTCAGGAGAAATGCTGGGTCAGCAAAAGGTAAGCAGTAACAAGTCATTGTCAGGAGACAAGCTGGATCAGCAAATGGTAAGCAGGAACAAGCCATTGTCAGGAGACAAGTTGGGTAAGCAATTGGTAAGCAGGAACAAGCCATTGTCAGGAGACATGTTGGGTAAGCAATTGGTAAGCAAGAACAAACATTTTCAGGAAACAAGCTGGGTCAGCAACTGGTAAGCAGGAACTAGCCATTGTCAGGAGACAAGTAGGGGTTTATTTACTAAAGCTGGAGAGTCCAAAATCAGACTCCCTTCTGCATAGAAACCAATCAGCTTCTAACCTCAGCTTGTTCAATGAAGCTTTGGCAATAAAACCTGGAAGCTGATTGGTTTCTATGCAGAAGGAAGTCTGATTTTGGACTCTCCAGCTTTAGTAAATAAACCACGTAATTTCAGCAAATGGTAAGCAGGAACAAGCTGTGGTCAGGAGACAAGCCAGATCAGCAACTAGTAAGCACAAGCAACCTGTGGTCAGGAAAGCATCTGAAGACTTTCCAACACTTTGCTATCATACCTCTGAGACCTAAAGTGGTTGCAAACCCTTACATATACCCAGTGAAGTGACTAGTCTTGGGTGATACACAGAGATTAAACAAATCCTCCTACATAATTTGTACCTGTGTATCTGCAGTCTTCTCTTTCAAAGTCCAGAATGCATAAAGCTTATCTGAGCTTTCAGAAAACAGGGGCAGAGAGCTGAAATTACACATTACAGAGCTCATTGAGGAGAGCTCTGGGTCCTGATTGGAGGGAAGGAACACCACCATTCTTCACACAGCACACAGGAACAGAGCTAAGGCTGTCAAACACAAACTGTGCGCTAGAGGGTTCCTTCCCGGTACCATTTTTCTCTTTGTGTCAGGAAAACTTGTCAGAAGTGATTCATGCTGAAAGTGGAGGGAATGAGGCAGCAGACGTAAATGACACTTAGTGCTCTTAATTGAGACAAGTACACACTATAGAGGGATATGCTTTGGTTAAATTTCATGTCTAATATTTACAATCACTTTAAACAAACCTTCTGGTGCCAGTTCTGGAACTGGGCAAAAAGGGAAAGTGAACGTGCCAGTCCATCAGCATGCCTATGCACATGTGCGCACATTTGGCTGGTAATGACCCTAGACCCATGGTTGTGTGCAGCATAATGCGCATGCAATTATATCAAGCCAATATTCTAACAAGACACATAAAGTATGCTTGTTAAATCATAGACAGAGTAGGAGGAAAGTGTATCAGAACAGAGATTCTGAAGAAAAAGGTTATACACTTGGCATTACTTTTTTTCATTCTGTCAGAAATATTTTTTTTCTATAATTTTGAGTTTAGAATAAACATGATTTTTTTGTGTCTTACTGTCATATATTGCCCAAGAGCAATTCACTGCCAAAATGTATAAAAGTCTAGTCTCCTGGAGGACAATGCTAGTATTCAAAAAACACCGTAAGTTTCATTCAGGGTACATGCGGTGCGGGGCCAAGTCATTTGGAAGCACAAGTGCATTAGCTCAATAGTTGATTAAAGTTCCACCAAAAGTTAATGAACAAACTTTTTCTGCACGGGTGGAAATGAGGTCCAAGTAAAGTGTTCCATTTTATTACAGTACACACAGCCAATACCTCAATTGCTTTTGGTGCACATAAAGCAGTCATTTGTATCTGGCTCAGTTATTGGATTCAGATACTAATACTCTGCATATCTTAATTTGTGTATTCCCTGACACTGCAACCTTCCTCTATGTGTAGTTTTTTGCTTTATAAAAACAAAATTACCAAAATATTAAAAGGACACTAAGTATCCTTATTCTACAAAATAACCCATACACATCCACTACTAAATGGCTCTGTAATTTATCTTTCATGAAATAATTTCTTACTGTGTTTTTCTGCCTTCTTGTAATGTCCTCCATGAACTCTCAAACCTCATTTTTCCCTCCTCACTTCCATTTGTTTGGAACGAGCAGTGTATGTTAGTTGTGATCATGTGTGCTGCTCTATGAATACTACAAACCCCATAGTTCATATTCCCTAGTCCAATGTGGGAGAATTCAACAGAGGGTGGCTATGTTCCTGCATACAGTATGGACCATGGTGAAGCCACCCTCTAATAGGAAGTCACATCATGGAGAAAAAAAATGTATTTGGGAATTGGGAGAAGGCTGAGAGCAACAGAAGGTACTTTTTTGAATTAAGAAAGCATACTTGAATAGAATATATATATTTAAACCAGAGTTCAGTGTCACTTGTAAAATTTGGACAAGAGAAGTGAAGAGGATGTACATATAGTAACAAGCTTTCTAAGTGACATTTTTCACAGAGCAGTTTGTGAAAAGGGCCTGCTAACTGTGGGCAATGCCCACCCTTCTTATTTCATATGGGCCAGGGCATGTAGTTGTTAAACATTGATCAGTTTTGACCATATCGATATGTCTCCACTAGAGATGAGCGAATTATTCAAAAATTCGATTCGGCTGATTCGCCGAATTCGCGGAATAAATTCGATTTGAGGCGAATATATTCGCTGCAAATTTAACGTGTAAAAAAGGGTGTTTCTAGGCTTCAGAGAGCCTTTATATTAGTGCAGAACACTGTACCTTTAATTTAAATGCCCTTGGAGTCTGCTGGGGAAGAGAAATAATACTGTCAGTCAGTATGACATGCAGATGAGTGCCGTCGATCTTAGAATCACCGCACACTTCACTCATTTGGGCAGTCACGGGGCCAAAACCAGAGTGTGGAGCCACAGTGTGGCAGTGGAGGCAGCAGCAATGGGAGGCCATACAGCACCCTATGACAAAATGGAACCCACCAACAGTGTGAGGAGACCTGAAAGTGGCACATGGCAGAGTGTGGCGATGGAGACAGCAGCAATGGGAGGCCATACAGGGACCCATGACACACTCTGGACCTGGCAGCAGCATGAGGAGGCGGTACAGGGGCCCATGACAGATTACGGGCCTGGCAGCAGCATGAGGAGTCGGTACGGGGGCCCATGGCAGATTACGGGCCTGGCAGCAGCAATGGGAGGCCATACAGCACCCTATGACAAAATGGAACCCACCAGCAGTGTGAGGAGACCTGAAAGTGGCACATGGCAGAGTGTGGCGATGGAGACAGCAGCAATGGGAGGCCGTACAGGGACCCATGACACACTCTGGACCTGGCAGCAGCATGTGGAGGCGGTACAGGGGCCCATGACAGATTACGGGCCTGGCAGCAGCATGAGAAGTCGGTACGGGGGCCCATGGCAGATTACGGGCCTGGCAGCAGCAATGGGAGGCCATACAGCACCCTATGACAAAATGGAACCCACCAGCAGTGTGAGGAGACCTGAAAGTGGCACATGGCAGAGTGTGGCGATGGAGACAGCAGCAATGGGAGGCCGTACAGGGACCCATGACACACTCTGGACCTGGCAGCAGCATGAGGAGGCGGTACAGGGGCCCATGACAGATTACGGGCCTGGCAGCAGCATGAGGAGTCGGTACGGGGGCCCATGGCAGATTACGGGCCTGGCAGCAGCAATGGGAGGCCATACAGCACCCTATGACAAAATGGAACCCACCAGCAGTGTGAGAAGACCTGAAAGTGGCACATGGCAGAGTGTGGCGATGGAGACAGCAGCAATGGGAGGCCGTACAGGGACCCATGACACACTCTGGACCTGGCAGCAGCATGAGGAGGCGGTACAGGGGCCCATGACAGATTACGGGCCTGGCAGCAGCAATGGGAGGCCATACAGCACCCTATGACAAAATGGAACCCACCAGCAGTGTGAGGAGACCTGAAAGTGGTACATGGCAGAGTGTGGCGATGGAGACAGCAGCAATGGGAGGCCGTACAGGGACCCATGACACACTCTGGACCTGGCAGCAGCATGAGGAGGCGGTACAGGGGCCCATGACAGATTACGGGCCTGGCAGCAGCATGAGGAGTCGGTACGGGGGCCCATGGCAGATTACGGGCCCTGGCAGCAGCAATGGGAGGCCATACAGCACCCTATGACAAAATGGAACCCACCAGCAGTGTGAGGAGACCTGAAAGTGGCACATGGCAGAGTGTGGCGATGGAGACAGCAGCAATGGGAGGCCGTACAGGGACCCATGACACACTCTGGACCTGGCAGCAGCATGAGGAGGCGGTACAGGGGCCCATGACAGATTACGGGGCCTGGCAGCAGCATGAGGAGTCGGTACGGGGGCCCATGGCAGATTACGGGCCTGGCAGCAGCATGAGGAGGCGGTACAGGGGCCCATGGCAGAGTGGCGGAGCGTAAGCAGCTAAAATTGAAGGCCATACAGAGGCCTATGTTAAAAAGTCCCCCCAGCAGCAGCGTGGGGAGACGACTAATAGTCGACTATCATCGACTATCAAGAGTCCAATGGCAGAGTGGCGGAGCAGAAAGCAGCTTCAATTGAAGGCCATACACAGGCCTAGGTTTAAAAGTCCCTCACAGTTAATTCCAATAACGAACTCTACTCCTCGTGCAATCTACTTACGAGACCCTGGGCAGGTCTGGGTCCAATTTGTGGTAGAGACTGGTTTTGTTCAGCCATGCTTGAGCGAGTAATAACAGGTCTGTGCTGCCCTTTGGTGTCTGGCTTAATGCGCACAACACTGAACGTCCCAGCATTTGTCAACGATTTGCCGTTAAGTGATGCAAACCGCTGAACCACGTTCATGAGGAGCCGGTACAGGGGGCCATGAATCAGTATGGACCTGGCAGCAGTGTGAGCAGACGACAGAGGCACATGGCGCAGGGTGGCGGTGTAGGCAGCATTATTCTGAAGCCATACACAGGCCTAGGTTAAAAAGCGGAAGCCGTCAGCAGCTGTGAGCAGACGACAGAGACACATGGCGCAGGGTGGCGGTGGATGCAGCAGTATTCGGAAGCCAAACACAGGCCTCGGTTTAAAAAGCGGAAGCCGTCAGCAGCATTAGCAGACGACAGAGGCACATGGCGCAGGGTGGCGGTGGAGGCAGCAGCAATGGAAGGCCATACAGCACCCTATCACAAAATGGAACCCACCAACAGTGTAAGGAGACCTGAAAGTGGCACATGGCAGAGTCTGGCGATGAAGTCAGCAGCAATGGGAGGCCGTACAGGGACCCATGACACACTCTGGACCTGGCAGCAGCAAGAGGAGGCGGTACAGGGGGCCCATGGCAGAGTGGCGAAGCGTAAGCAGCTTAAATTGAAGGCCATACAGAGGCCTATGTTAAAAATAATAACATGTTTGGGGCATGATTCATGGCGGATTTAGTCAGTTGTGTCAGGAACTGGTGGTTTGAAATCCAGACTAATCCACGCCTGATTCATTTTCACAAACGTGAGTCTCTCCACACTTTGGGTGGACAGTCGTGTCCTCCGCGGAGTTACAATACCTCCTGCCGCACTAAACACGCGCTCCGATGCCACGCTACTGGCCGGGCATGACAGCCTTTCAAGGGCAAATTCAGCTAGTTGGGGCCAAAGGTCAAGTTTCGTTGCCCAGTAGTCAAGGGGATTGTCTACCTTGGTTGGCAGGGTGCTGTCCAAGTAGGCCCGAGCCTGTTGTTTGAGGTCCTGCTCCAGGTCCACCTGATGCTGCTGCTGCTGCGGCTGGTTAGTAGTTTCCTCACTGCGCTGGTGAAGAAAGCTACTCATCATCGACTGCAGACTGAGGCAGCCGCTGTTGGTGGAGCTGCCACTGCTCCTACCACCCCACCCCTCCCCTGCTGCCATGGCAGCGGAATGTGAGCGCACAGGGCCCACAGTGTCTGAGGATGGACGTTGGCGCAGAAAGGCAGAGACCAACTGACTACATAGGTGGTTTTTTTTATAGTACTTTATTTTGGCCTCCCTCTCAGCAGGTGTGAAAAAGGCCACCATTTTTTGAACGGTAGCGAGGGTCCAACAAGGTGGACAGCCAAAAGTCATCCCTCTGTCTGATGGTTATTATTCGGCTGTCGCTACGCAAGCAACAGAGCATGCTATGGGCCATTTGTGCCAAGGAATGCGAGGGACTCCCTGCCTCCATCTCCACAGCATACTGCCACGGTGCGTCTGGGTCCTCTGTCTCCTCCTCCTCTACCAGATGCTCCTGCTCCTCCACTCCTGTCCGCTGAGTGGAAAAAAACCACCCCATTTCACTCAATAATTCCTGAGCACCAATGTCCTCCTCTACCTCCTCCTCTTCTTCCTGTCCTGCCCCCACAGGGGTCATGTGGCGTTGAGATCTGTGCGCCACGTCTACCGCACCCTGACCAGCCATTGTTAACAGCATTTGTTTCAGGACGTGCAACAGAGGAATGACGTCGTTCATCCCATAGTCCTGCCGAATCACGAATAGCGTGGCCTCCTCAAAGGGCCTGAGCAAGCGGCAGGTGTCACGCATGAGCTGCCAATGGCTGACATCTAAGTTACACAGGGGAGTACCTTTATCCGCTTTGTAACATCAGGAAATCGGTGATGGCCTTTCGCTGTTCGTAAAGGCGGTCTAACATATGTAGGGTTGAATTCCACCTTGTTGCAACGTCGCAGATCAGGCGATGCTGTGGAATTCCGTTCTGCCGCTGCAGCTCAAGGAGGGTGTGCTTTGCGGTTGTAGGAATGGCTGAAATGCATGCAAAGTTTACGTGACATTTTAAGGATGTCTTGCAGTGGGATGGTGGATTTTAGGAACCGCTTGACAACCAGATTGAACACGTGAGCCATGCATGGCGCATGGCACAACCTTCCTTGACGCAGAGCAGACACCATGTTCTTTCCGTTGTCGGTCAACATGGTTCCGATTTTCAGTTTGCGCGGAGACAGCCATCTGTCGATTTCTCTGTTCATTACACTCAGAAGTTCCTCCCCTGTGTGACTACGTTCGCCAAGGCATACCAGGTGCAGCACAGCGTGACACCGTTGCGCCCTGCACATGTGATATGCCGGTCGGGTAATGGGACTTGGCACGGGGGTGGCGGCTGAGGACACGGCGGAAGAAGAGGTGGTAGAGGCGGACATCTTTGCTGGACCAAGGGACGTGCAAACGTGGAGGCAAAAGCGGCGTGACCTGTCCAAGTTGCTGGTGCGGCTGTGCCGGCACCACGTTCACCCAGTGGGCCGTAAATGACATGTACTGTCCCTGACCGTAGTTACAGCTCCACACATCGGCGCTGCCGTGCACTTTGGCAGAGACCGACATGCTCAAAGACTGGCCCACCATCTCTTCTACATGTGAATGCAGGGCTGGCACTGCCTTTTTTGGCGAAGAAATGAAATGCCGGCTTGGCACTCTCCACCGCGGCTCGGCACAAGCCATCATCTCTCGGAAAGGTACTGAGTCCACCACTTGGAAAGGGAGGGACTGCAGCACCAGCAACTTGGACAGGAGGACGTTCAGCTTCTGCACCGTCGGGTGCGTGCTCGCAAACTGTTGTCTCTTGGAAACGGATTCCAAGAAAGACTGCTGACGGAATCCGTGAAGAGGAGTAGGAGGAGAAGGAGCATCTGAACGAGCGGAAGATGCCAACGAGCGACAACTCCCCTCAGCAGAGGTGTTGGAGCCTTGACTGGCTGATAGAGGGCGATTGACGTCGGGTGACGGAGCAAGTAACGGAGCGGGTGATGGAGCGGGGGCTGGGGAAGGCAGAACCGCCGTATCTTTATCACGGTTTTTCCCAGGCCACCGAATGGCGACGCTGCATATGCTGACGCAACGCTGTAGTCCCAACATGGGCCCCCTGGCCACGCTTGACTTTCTGGCCACATAGTCGACATACGGCTACGTTTACTTCCTCGGGCGGCTTGACGAAAAATTGCCACAAACAACCGCCGAGTAGGAAACTTTGCCCCCGCTACTCCTCACTGGCTGACTGCTACTTCCTCCGTGCACACCGGCACCACTACTGGCCGTGGTGGTAGGCTGCAGTGGAGCTGGTGCTCTACTCCGTGTGGCCGTTTGCCTCCACTGACACTGCTGCGACCCTGCTGCCTCCTGAGCTCAACCCACCGACTGTTTTGCTCGCTGGCAAGCTGGCACCCTCTTCTCCTGATGATGCGGAAGCAATAGCCTGATGACGACGAGGCTGCCAAGTGCGATCAGCCTCATCATCATCAATTAGGGTTTCCGCGTCACTACTAGCCCCCTCGGCTGCGTGTGGGTCAGGAGACAGACCTGTCTCTAGACCGGCTACCGAGCCACTCTCCTCGCCAGTACTTCTTCGCCTGGCTGCTGAAGAGGCGGATGTCTCCCCCCGTTCCTGACCGCCCTCTGTTAGCTCTTCCTCACTGTACAGTGGGGCTGAGCCCACAGCATGCGATACTTCGCTTGGTGAGGGAACACCAAAGGACAGGGGCAGGTAGAGGACACGTGATTTCAGTGGGCTTGCTCCCGGGCCATGCCAACTAACGGTTGTGTCTGACGTACCCACCGACCGTTGGCTGTAGGTGTCAGAGGTGACCTGGGAAGAGGAAGACGACCGAGTCAACCAATCGATGACGGCAGGGTTGTCGGTGGAGACACGACCGCTGGATGACACCGGGAGCACTGGCCTCTGGCTGCGACTAGTGCTGCCTCGACCCCTTCCTCTGCTGCCACGTCTGCTCGCTCCTGAAACATTGCCTCCTCTGCCACTCCTCTGCGTGTTGTCTGACATACTCTTTAATTCAATAGTGGTTGTGAAGCAGAAAGTAACGATTCTGTGTCCCTGAGTAACGATTCTGTGTCCCTGAGTAACGATTCTGTGTCCCCGAGTAACAAATTCTGTGTCCCTGAGTAACGATTCTGTGTCCCCGAGTAACGATTCTGTGTCCTGAGTAACGATTCTGTGTCCCCGAGTAACGATTCTGTGTCCCTCAGTAACGATTCTGTGTCCCCGAGTAACGATTCTGTGTCCCCGAGTAACGATTCTGTGTCCCCGAGTAACGATTCTGTGTCCCTCAGGAGTAACGATTCTGTGTCCCCGAGTAACGATTCTGTGTCCCCGAGTAACAATTCTGTGTCCCTGAGTAACGATTCTGTGTCCCTGAGTAACGATTCTGTGTCCCTCAGTAACGATTCTGTGTCCCTGAGTAACGATTCTGTGTCCCTCAGTAACGATTCTGTGTCCCTGAGTAACGATTCTGTGTCCCTGAGTAACAATTCTGTGTCCCTGAGTAACGATTCTGTGTCCCTGAGTAACAATTCTGGTGTCCCTGAGTAACAATTCTGTGTCTGTCCCTGAGTAACAATTTCTGTGTCCCTGAGTAACAATTCTGTGTCCCTGAGTAACGATTCTGTGTCCCTGAGTAACGATTCTGTGTCCCTGAGTAACAATTCTGTGTCCCTGAGTAACGATTCTGTGTCCCTGAGTAACGATTCTGTGTCCCTGAGTAACAATTCTGTGTCCCTGAGTAACGATTCTGTGTTCCTCAGTAACGATTCTGTGTCCCTCAGTAACGATTCTGTGTCCCTGAGTAACAATTCTGTGTCCCTGAGTAACAATTCTGTGTCCCTGAGTAACGATTCTGTGTCCCTGAGTAACAATTCTGTGTCCCTCAGTAACGATTCTGTGTCCCTCAGTAACGATTCTGTGTCCCTGAGTAACGATTCTGTGTCCCTGAGTAACAATTCTGTGTCCCTCAGTAACGATTCTGTGTCCCCCAGTAACGATTCTGTGTCCCTGAGTAACAATTCTGTGTCCCTGAGTAACAATTCTGTGTCCCTGAGTAACGATTCTGTGTCCCTCAGTAACGATTCTGTGTCCCTGAGTAACGATTCTGTGTCCCTGAGTAACAATTCTGTGTCCCTGAGTAACAATTCTCTGTCCCTCAGTAACGATTCTGTGTCCCTGAGTAACAATTCTGTGTCCCTGAGTAACAATTCTGTGTCCCTGAGTAACAATTCTGTGTCCCTGAGTAACGATTCTGTGTCCTGAGTAGTAACAATTCTGTGTCCCTGAGTAACGATTCTGTGTCCCTGAGTAACAATTCTGTGTCCCTGAGTAACAATTCTGTGTCTGTCCCTGAGTAACGATTCTGTGTCCCTGAGTAACAATTCTGTGTCCCTGAGTAACGATTCTGTGTCCCTCTCAGTAACGATTCTGTGTCCCTGAGTAACAATTCTGTGTCCCTGAGTAACAATTCTGTGTCCTGAGTAACGATTCTGTGTCCCTCAGTAACGATTCTGTGTCCCTGAGTAACGATTCTGTGTCCCTGAGTAACAATTCTGTGTCCCTGAGTAACAATTCTCTGTCCCTCAGTAACGATTCTGTGTCCCTGAGTAACAATTCTGTGTCCCTGAGTAACAATTCTGTGTCCCTGAGTAACGATTCTTTGTCCCTGAGTAACAATTCTGTGTCCCTGAGTAACGATTCTGTGTCCCTGAGTAACAATTCTTGTCCCTGAGTAACAATTCTGTGTTTTTTCTGTCCCTGAGTAACGATTCTGTGTCCCTGAGTAAACAATTCTGTGTCCCTGAGTAACGATTCTGTGTCCCTGAGTAACGATTCTGTGTCCCTGAGTAACGATTCTGTGGCCCTAAAGTCTCTGTGGCCCTAACTCTGTCCCTAATACAGACAGGTCTGTCTCTCTTGAATGACCGGAGGCTAATGGAGAATTCTAAGATGGCCGCGATTTATAGCTCCACCATTACACAGTGCTGGCTGGCTGGCTGCTGATTGGCTAATGCGATCACATGTCATGAATGAATGCATTATGGGTCAGCGCGCATTGTCTGCGCGCCTTCCCAGAGATCCCCGCTCCGTCGCCACACATGTCGCCGCCATTTTTGGGAAAATTTGATTTGTGCATCCGAAGTTTGCTAATTTTCGGATTCGGCGCAAATCAAATTTTTCCTAATCTTCGAAACGAATTCCACTTCGCCATGTTCGATTCGCTCATCTCTAGTCTCCACCATAACTATAAATTTCATAGATTGCCACAAACTCCACAGGGACAATGGAAAAAGACTTTATTGTAGAAGTCAAAGATCAAAACATGAAAAAAAACATCACAGCACCAAGGCACAGCAGGAAAGGTTGACACAGTTCATGCTGAATAGCACGTAATCATAAATTGTATTTTTTTTGTGTTTGTTCTCCACAATAACTAGTTTCAACCTTCAAACCATGTGTTTTAATGTGGTCCCATGTGGCATTTCAGTGTTGTGCACCAAAAGTGAACCTTAAATCATACTTGGTAATACAAGTGAAGATCATGTGTGCTGTTCACCTGGAGAAGCCTTAATGTATTATGAAGGCCCTGAAGGATTTGCTTTTTATTTTGCCCTTTCAGTGTGGGTGAGTTTTCAGTGCTGCAAAGTCGGACCACACTGCAATACCAAATAAAGACATATAGAAATTCTTATCTATACAACTGTAGGTTACTTAGGACTAGAATAGGGACTGTGTAGGGATGTGCAAAAAAAACTGCTGACTACTAAGAGTGTGGCTAACCTGTGTACCCTTCTGTGCTTGATCATTAATAGCATAACAAAGCACAAAAGGCAAATGGCATAATGCCATTGTAACAGTAGTTGGTCCTAAGCAGATCTGCATTGTAGGATCTTTTTGCAAGCACCTCTCTATAATCCTCACTGACGGTTATACACAAATTAGAAGCTCAGTTTAACACCTAGCTAAATGGAGCTCATGCAATCAATGAAATAGGCATTTATAACATTTTAAGAGAAGGTCCTACACTTGTTGTCATCATAGGAGTGCCAAATTTCAGCCTGGATATATATAAGGAAGGGTGGTAGGAGTCTACTGGGTTGGTGGGCAGTGAAAGATTGTGCTGAGAAACCCTTCTTCTAGAGATTTTATACCACCATAGAAATGTGAGATCTTTGGGACATAAGCTCCCCTTCGTGAGAAAGAGGCCATTGCTGGCTGTGCTCAGAGGGAGAGCAGCCTACTTTTCTTCCTAGCATGGAGCATATTGATATAAATAGAGACTATGGAGGCACCTGTTTCCATTGATGAAGCACTGTAAAAGTATTGGAGTTGCGATGTACATCTTTGTTTACAAGTTTGCCAAGTAAATTCAGCAACTGAGTGTGACTTTTCCTTCTTAGAGGGAGCTAAAGATGAGATCAGATCATCATGTTTGTCCCGCTTGTCTCAGGAGGTATATGTCAGGTAGAGACTGAAGAGGTCAGTCAGTGGCAGGTCCCTGTGTTGTTAATGTACAGCAGGGGTCTCCAAACTTTCTAAACAAAGGACCAGTTTACTGTCCTTCAGATTTTAGGGAGGCTGGACTGTGGCCATTGGGAGCAGAAAAGGTCCCGTCAGTGGAAAAAAAACACAATGCCCCATCTTTGGTGTCAGTGGGAGAAATTGTGCACAGTCGTTGGTATCAGTGGGAGGAATTGTGCCCCATTGTTGGTGTCAGTGGGAGAAAGTGTACCCGATCATTCATGTCATTGGGCCCTTTGTTGGTGTCACTGAGAGGAATTCTGCCCCATCATTGGTAGGAATTCTGCCCCATCATTGATGTCAGTGGGAGGAATTATGCCCCATTGTTGGTATCAGTGGATGAAATAGTACCCCAAGGTCCCGATAAAAGAAAGCAAAGGGCCCCAGTTTGGAGACCACTGATGTACCTTATGTGGTTTCTAGTTTGCACACTCACTGATGAAGCTGTGTGACTTGGGACAATCAGTCCCTATGTCCAAAGAAATGACCTGGGATGATAGATCCCTCTATGGGTTTCTGAGAGCTGAGGTTGGAAAAAAGAATGTGCCCCCAGTGCTAGCAAAAATGTGGACAGCAAAGATTGACCTGACAAATCTCAGGTTCCCAGCATCAGAGGAAGCTGCCATTGGTTCATGTGCTATGGAACGTTTCTGACTCTATACTGCTGGAAGAAGAGAAGACATGTAGGGTATGGCTGTGGAGGGAGTCCCCCTTGGTAATCACAATAGTGTCCTCGAGGAATAATTTTTTTAATCAGTGCCCCGCCAAGCATCTAATAAAGAATATATGTGTTGCCTTGAAGTGCTTTTGAAAAAAAAATTAGGCCCGTGAATGTACATTGAAGGGGGGCCATTGATAATGAATGGGCGACACATTTCAATGTGTGAAAACGTGAATCAGCATAGGTGCTGGAGCATAGACATGATTTTTAGTAGCTCCATCATGCTGTCAACAGAGGTGTGGGTTGACTAGGGAGCAATGTCTATCAGCTTCGGGTGAGGTAGCTGGGGACCATTGTCTCTTATTAGTGGTGAGGAGAGGTAACCAGTAATGAGTGAGGTGGCAGCGGAGGGCAAGGCAGCTGGGGAGGAATATGGGTCAGTTGTGGAGTGAAGTGACTGGGGAGGTATGTACACTAGTTGAGAGTGAGTAGAAAAAAAGGTTCCAGTTTGCTGTTTCAAGCAAGATTTGTAAAATTGTTTGTGAATCAAACCTAAGCAGAAGTGAGGTGGCTAGGGAGGGATGTGCATCTGTGGGAGTAAGGTAGCCAAGTAAGGTAACCTTTTTGTCAGCAAGGTAGGAAGTGACTGGAGAGGTATATGTGTTAGCAGAGGTTGAGGTATCCAGAAAGGGATGTGCATAAGCAGGGGTGAGGTGACTGGGTAGAGATGTATGTCAGCCGAAGATGATATGGCTGGGGAGGGAGGTGTGTCTGTAAAAGGTGAGGCGGCTAGGGAGGGATGGGTCCCAGTAGAAGGTGAGCTGGCTAGGGAGGAATGGGTGTCAGTAGAAGGTGAGGTAGCAAGGGAGGGATGGGTGCCAGGAGAAGGTGAGATGGCTAGGGAGGGATGGGTGCCAGGAGAAGGTGAGGTGGCTAGGGAGGGATGGGTGCCAGTAAAGGGTGAGTAGGCTAAGGAGGGATGGGTATTAGTAGAAAGTGAGGTGGCAAGGGAGGAATGGGTGCCGGTAGAGGGGTAGGGTGGCTAAGGAGGCATGTGTGCCAGTAGAAGGTGAGGTGTTTGGGGAGGAAAGTGTGTCAGCAGGGGGTGAGGTGATCAGGCAAGGATGTGTGTCAAGGAGGGTTGTGAGGCCATGGAGTAATGTTTGCCTGAGGGTGACTGCTGATGGTGTTTTAGCTGCAGTGAGGGGTATTGTGTGTACATTGTACATGTGGCAGGTTTGAAAATGTTAAAACAGTACAGAGTTCCATGTTCTGCTGTTTGTGTTTGTTGCTCCAGAATTCCTATCAGACCAGTAATAACAACTGG